TTTTTTTTTTTAAACGTTATGTCATGTTTAAAACATTCAATGTTATGTCACGTACATTTAGTTTCACTCCCCATTTACCATGTCCAACCCTAACCCAGTCTGCTCCCTTCCCTCCCGCTGTGCCCCTCATATTTATGCACTCCTGTTTGTCCTACATTTCCTCAATTTGAATGTTGGTCCTCTGGTGTTCCGTGTTCTGTTGCTCTAAGGGATGTATTACCATAGAGTATGGATGGGTGCATCATCCTGGGTTGAGTGGTCTGTGTGTACATCTTGTTAACTATTGGGCTGAGAGCCAGCCCCTGGGGGTGGGTTTTATTCCAGGTGCAGAATGTATTCCAGGGCCATAGTATTGGGGGTCTACCAGATTTCATCTGACCAGTAATTCTGGTCATTATTGAGTTTTTGGATTTTGTTCCATGTTTTCCCTCCCACTCTATCCAGGATCTCCAGGTTTGATCCTTTCCTGAGTGGTTGGCATTGGTAGCCAGGCACCATTTAGTTCTTCTGGTCTCAAGGGCCATCGTGTCCTATGGCTGATTGCTTCCAAATGCCCTTGTTTTAATTGTCTTCAACTTTGAGTTGAACTGTTCCACAATCAGCTCCTGGCCTTGTTTTGGCTGAAGATACTGAGTTTTTCCATCACCTCTTGCCACAGATGTAGTCAGTCTGATTCTTGTGTATTCCATGTGGTGAAATTCACGTGTATAGCCACCTTTTGTGTTGTTGAGAGAAGGTATTTGCATTGAATAAGTTGTTGGTCTTGAAAAATTCAATCATGCAGTCTCCAGCATGATTTCTGTCACCAAAGCCAAATTTTCCAACTACCAGTGGTTCTTCATTTCCAACTTTAGTATTCCAGTCACCAGTGATAATTAACACATCTTGATTGCATGTTCTGTCAATTTCAGACTGAAGAAGTTGATAAAAATCTTCAATTTCTTCATCTTTGGCTTTGGGAGTTGGTGTGTAAATTTGAGTAGTAGTAGTATTAACTGGTCTTCCTTGTAGGGATATGGATATTACCCTATCACTAACAGCATTGTACTTTAGGACAGATCTTAAAACATCCTTTGCAATGATGAATGCCATGCCATTCCTCTTCAGATTCTCATTCCTGGCATAGTAGATCATGTGGTCATCTGATTCAAAATGGCCAAAACTGGTCCATTTCAGCTCACTAATGCCTAGGATAAGAGCTCAGGTAGTGTAGTGCTTAAGGCACTTGACTGCTGAACCAGATGGCTGGCAGTTCAAACCCACCAGCCACTCTTCTGAAGGAAGATGTGGCAATCTACTTCCATAGTGATACCTCCTTGGAAATCCAAGGAGGGGTCACTATGAGTTGGGTCTAACTCGAGAGCACGTAACAACAACAACAATGCCTAGGATATCAATCTTTATGCGTTCCATTTCATTTTTGACAACTTCCAGTTTTCCTAGATTCATTCTTCATACATTCCATGTTCTGATATATTAATGGATGTTTGCAGCTTTTTCTCCTCAATTTGAGTCATGCCACATCAGCAAATGGAGGTCCCAAAAGTCTACTTTATATTAAAATATGTAATTGTTGTACTAGGCATTCTTCTCTGCTGCTGCTTCCCCTGTCTGATTCTAGGCAAAGATAGTCTGTCTGTACATATGTTTAGTTTTGGGGGCAAAATAATCAATGCCTATGATAATTATATATTTTAGTTATTATAATGGGCATTTATTAATTTCTTGTTACAGAATCACATATGTAGTAGCCCTCCATCACTTGTAAACATCGTCTGTGTTTAACACTCTATATTCCTTGCCTGATGGTGTCCGATGAGCCCCTCCAAACCAGCTAATCTTGGCACTACAAATAACCAATGGGTATCATAATAGGAGAGGAGCCCTGGTGGCACAATGGTTAAGCACTCAGCTGCTAACCAAAAGGTCAGTGGTTTGAATCCACCAACAGCTCTGCAAGAGAAAAGACCTGGAAATCTGCTGCTATACAGATTACAACTTAAGAAACCCTATGGCTTAGATTTACTCTGTCCTGTAGGATATATCGGAAGAAAGATTGGGCAGTCTACTTCCGTAGTGATATTGCCTTGGAAAGCCAATAAGGGGTCACTATAATGTATACGTAGGAATAGACTCAATGGCGCACAACAATTATTAAAGGAAAATTACAGTATCTTTTAATTCTTTTGCCTCTTGTGCCTCTGGAGGAACTCTGTATGAACAGATCCTCATGTAGCATTCTGGAAAAGTTTTCCTACTCCAGTATGATGAATGTTATATTATCAGTAGTCTACACAATGACTTAATCTGCCCTGGGACTTCATAAATGATTCTCTTGCCTAAGCTGTATCCTCCCCACCATGTTGCTTTCCTACATGCACCTCTGGCTCCAGATAAATAAGCGTACACTGACCTCATACTTGCATAAGACTTATTAAAGTTACAATATTTAGTGTATCAGAAACAAACTAACAGTTTCTTGGGATTGGGGCTTTGAGTGTCATGAGGTGCACAGTGGGCCTGCAGGTGCCCCATGATAGTTGATCTCAGCATAGCTGCGTACTACTCCCAAAAATATGTTTTATCTTACATGGATGATTAGAATACCTTGTCCCTCCTTTCCTCTCTGCTGCTCCTTCCCCGTGTCTGATTCTAGGCAAAAATGGTCTATAAATATATTTGGTTGGTGCGGGGGCGGGGGGAGAACCTGAGTTTAAATCCTAATTCTATCACTTACCAGTTTACTTGACATTAGGCAAGTTATAAAATTTCTCTGAATATCAATTTCTTCATTTATAAGATAGAAATAAGAACATATCCCCTCACAGGACTGTCATAAGAATGCAATGAAGTAACATATGTAAGCAACTAACATGATACCTGGAACCCTCAGTACATTTTAATTAGCTTTCCTCTTCTATGGCAGTGTCACGTAGGAGAATAAAGGAGAAAGGGTTGGGAGAAGGAAGAACTTGAAGGGAAAAAAGTCAACTTTTACATACGTGACTCTGGCATCACATCCTAAAAGTCATAAAAGATTTGTAACCCTAAACAGCATTCTGGATAGCATGTTTTAAATTAGGTACTGTACTAAGCAATACAGTAGGCCTCGCATGTGGATCACTTAAATTATCGATGCTGCCCTTACACTGGATAGTGACAGCAGGTAGGTCAATACTCACCCAGTGAAAATTGCCTGGTCATAGTGTGTGGTGATAAATATGGTTAAATAAATTGAAAAGTACTGGAGTTTTGTGAACTTTAATGGAATTCTCTGCTTCAAACCTTCTGTGTCTTCCTGTTGCCCATATTACTGAGACTGAACCCTTTCAACTCCAGATAATCTGGGCCCTACATACTCCTGTAGCCTCATCTCTCCTCAACCTCCTAACTAGGCTCTCACCTCTAATGCCAGGCTCCAACAGTACTGAACTATTTTGGGTTTTTCATTCCTGTATTCTCACTGTTGTGCAATCTGGCTGAGACATACTTTCCTTCTCTTAGCACTGGCTAGTCCCCAATTAAAAAGCCTAAGTTATGTACCCCCTTCTAGAAGGTACCTTATTTATCATTTATATTTCATTCCTAGTGTAGTACCAGGCTCATTGAGATTTCAATAAATTTTTGTTAAATGAATTAGTCAGTTTTCAGACAACTGAAATACAAAGTGTTATGATGGTGATTTTCTGTTGCATATGATATGTCGTCGTAGTACCTAGAAATCTGAAAACCCCATTTTAGTAGAGGAAAAAGAGTGTGTTCTTCAGTGTACATGTTTACCATGTCCTACTTTATATGATGTGTCAGATCACAGGTGGTTTGACGGATAGCTACCCCCTACTTTTCTGGCCATTTAAAAAGCTATGCTGAGGGATTTTAAAATGCTATTGTAGATACTGCTATATCATTTTGACTTGGGTTTTTAACAAAAAAAAAAAAAATCAGGTATAGTGATTACTGTAACAGCACAGAGGATGATTCTCATAGAAAGGCCTTTCCTCTGATATTTGTATCTAGTGAAAATAAGCTAATGAAGTATTTTAAAAAGGCAGTCAAGGATTTTATAGAGATGGTTATAAAATGCCAAAAAAATGTATGTGCTTATGGGAAATTACTCTCAAGAAAAGACATTAACAATAAACCAAGTGACCACCAGGACATATGTAATCAAGTTGTCCCACTGAGCTTTTCCTTTTTGTAAAATTGTTAACATTTTGAAGAATTTTTTTTTCAGATGCATCTGCTCAGCACAGAGAATGGGATCTAAAGGTAGTATAAAAGAATTCTAAGAAAGTGAATGGTGTGTGAGCTTTTTTTTTTTTCCTTCACAAGTAATTTACTTAAAAAGAAAAAAAATTAACATCTGCTATTTTGAAGCTAATCTTGGTGTGTTGAATGCTCCTAACCATTTCTCCATCCCACAGTCTTTTATCTTGCTTCTCCTGCTGTGTTCCCACCACCCCTGATCCCATTAGCAAACCTTGAGACAGCCTCAGACTTACCAAAGTACTGCTTTGGTTTCAGCTGCTCTTCTACAAGAGGAAGTGAATGTTGGGGGTTTTCTCTGTGGTACAGTTGTGATAAAGCTGTGGTGGTCTTATCTCTCTCTTAGGTAGTGGCTCTTTATGACTACACAGCGAATCGATCAGATGAACTAACCATCCATCGCGGAGACATTATCCGAGTGTTTTTCAAAGATAATGAAGACTGGTGGTATGGCAGCATAGGGAAGGGACAGGAAGGTTATTTTCCAGCTAATCATGTGGCTAGTGAAAGTAAGTTTTATGCTCCCTTCCTGGTTTACTAATATGGTATAACTGATCGTCCAAGATTTTATCATTTTTTGCTCTTTAATTGACTGTTTTTATAACCTTTGCATATGGTTTACCAATGGGTACTGCTTTTTGTGTACATGATAGAAATATAAATTAAAAAGTTAGGAGGGGACACTAGTACACTAGGAAAGTGTTACATTCTGAGATTGGGAAACTTGCTTTCACTGACTTCTCTATTTGTCTCGGGGAACCTGCCCACTAGCTACCAACTTTCTTCTTCAGCCCCTTCCCCTGCTTCACACACAGTGTTGTCAGCTCTTCTCTTGCCACACGACTCCTCAGTTAACAGGCATCTTAAGAACCTCTGGTTCCCTGACTCCCATGTTTACACTTGGTATACTTCAATGCCAGCTAGTTACCAGCTAAAATAAAACTACAGTAGATTATTTCATTTCCAGGTAAGTGAGCATTAAGCCCTCATTTGTGTGGGGAGCGGGGAGAAGAGCTAGAGAAGAAGTTGTTCATACAAGTTTCTGAAAGCTGTAGATTCACTGCTAGGCCTTGAGAGAGAAAAATAGAACTAACCTACCAAAAAACCCACTGCTGTCTAGTCAATTCCAACTCATAGTGACCCTGCAGGGTAGAGTAGAGCTGCCCCAGAGGGTTTCCAAGGCTGTAAATCTTTGCAGAAGCTGACTGCCTCATCTTTCTCCTGTGGAGCAGCCGGTGAGTTTGAATCACCAGCTCTTAGTTACCAGCCCAATGCTTGAGCCACAGTACCCCTGGAGCTCCTTAGAACTAACATGTTGTTGTTGTTCTTGTTATTTGCCATCGAGTCGGCCCCAACTCATAGCGACTCTTCCTTGGGTTTCCGAGGCAGTATCACTACGGAAGTAGGATTGCCCAACCTTCCTTCCGAGGAGCGGCTGGTGGGTTTGAACCGCCAGCCTTCTGGTGAGCAGTCAAGTGCCTTAGGCACTATGCTACCAGAGCTCCTAGAACTAACATGTTGTTGTTGTTGTTTGCCGTCGAGTCGGCCCCGACTCATAGTGACCCCTCCTTGGGTTTCTGAGGCAGTATCACTAAGGAAGTAGGATTGCCCAACCTTCCTTTTGAGGAGTGGCAGGTGGGTTTGAACCGCCAGCCTTCTGGTGAGCAGTCAAGTGCCTTAGGCACTATGCTACCAGAGCTCCTAGATAACAGAACTAACACAGAGAGCCTGAAAATAAGGACTGTCATGAAAGGGAAGCAGTAAATAGTGCTTCAGAAGAATTCATCCTTTCAGCAATTAACATGATAGTGGTAGGAAAGCACCATACTCCAGGGTCAGGAAAACTCAGTTCTAAGCCCAACTCAACAAGTAATACTGCTGCACCTCAGTTTCCTCCTAAAATGAGGAAGTTGAGCTACATCATCTCCAAGGTTTTCTCTACAAATAACAACAATTTATGGGTCTTATTTAAAATGTATTACAGTCAGACTTGACATCAAGAGCATTGTGTTTTGAATATTCATTGTTAAGTCCTTTGTTTCTGCAAAGGAGTAATTGTCATAAATAAAAGCTGGTTTTCAGGGTAGGCCATGAAACCCCATTTAACTGAAAACGTGGCTGAACAAAAGTACTGTTGTTTCCTAACCTGGGTTCTGAATTTGAGATCAAAAGGGATGAAGCAAAGGAGAAAGAATTTGTTCCATAAATTCTGGCTTCTCATGTAGGCCTAAACAAATTATTTGTCTTTGGAAACCACTACCACCACCACCCAAGAATCTTTAGTGCATCCTAGTGCTACCCCGTGCTCCCCTCCTCAAGACTCTTTGGCTACCCTAAGCTTCATGGTAGCTCCTTCCTGAATCCATATGCCTCTTCCAGCAAATTCCTCCCTTCAAAAGTGCTGAGTGTCATAAAAAATGACCCCCTTCTCTCCCCATACAACATTCTTAATTTCCTCTGTGTTGCTGTTTTAATTCTTTGTCTCTGAGTTTTGAATAACTGATTGCTCTTTAACTCTATCAGAGTTATATTTTTTATGTTTAAAAGTAAATGTGGAAAGAAGAAATTTTGGGACAGTTCTTAGGTAGGCATAAGACAGGATCTAAGTTTCCCATAAACTCAGCCCCTCAAACTTCTGAATCCCCAGGTTCTAATAAATATCTGAGCTCCTTCCCTTCCCCCCCAGTCATGGCTCTTCCACGGGATGAACCACTGAGGTTCAGCAGGGGCAGCTACTGTCTTTCAATCAAGAGCTTCCTGTGTGGTCCTACCCACTCTGGAGTCTATCTGTAACTTAAACTAGCTGTTACAGTCCATTTTTCCTTTCAGATAAAAGGGGAAACTTCTTAAATGTTTTTCACTTGAAAATATAAAGAGATTGTGTATTTCCTTTCAGGATGGTATTAAGTTCTTTAACTTTACAATCTAGTTAGTTTGTAGAAATAACCTCTGGCTTGCACATCTTGAGAGGCTCTGGATAGTTGATCTCAGTGGGTCAAAATACAATAAAATTTGGTTTTTCTCTATAGTAATCAAAGTCACACTTCTGAAACACAATACAATAACATTTGATGGCTGCATGTAGAAATTAATTCCATGTCTCAAAAAATAAAAGTCCTTTGACTGCCATAGCCCCTCATTATATCCCAGAATAATTGATGTTTTCTTTTGGCATCAGTCACTGCTTATTGAAAGCCTTGTAAGGGGCATAACAAATAGAAACCCCAAGAATATAATGATTGAATTCTCACACTTCATTGAAGGTTACTTTCCTTTCCCTTTTATCCTACTTTTTACCTGGATTTAACAAAACTCACCTGCCCAGTTTAAACTTTAGAGAAAAAAATTATGATCAGCAGCATATTTCATTCTAAAATAGTAGGAGGAATCATCCTTTATCTTGATGTGAAGTCAGATATGCTAAGCAACTGATCTAAGGGAGTAGACACATGGACAGAATTTCTACCAACTGTTCCTTTGAGAGTGTCCTCCAATGGAGCAGTACAATAGAGTAAGTTGGTGTTTCATTATTATAAAGGACTTATCCCTTTGTATCTTAAGCTACTGAAAAGGAAACATGATCAGCTTCCTTTAATCATATCTGACACCCTTTTTAGTAAGAGAGAAAGAAACCCAGTAATAAAATCAACCCATAGCCAAAGATAATTAATATATTTCAAAATCTTAGACCAAATTTTAGAATTTTGGTTAACTGTATTTTAGCAAAGGAACTGTGGTCGTGTAGTGGATATGGCATTTGGTTGCTAACCAGAAGGTCACTTGCCTCTCCATGGAAGAAAGTTGGGGCAATCTACTTCCATAAAGATTTACAGCCTTGGAAACCCAATGGGGTTCACTATGATTTGTAAGGGAGCTCTGGTAGCATAGTGCCTAAGGCACTTCACTGCTAACCAGAAGGCTGGTGGTTCAAACCCACCAGCCACTCCTCAGAAGGAGGATGGGGCAATCTACTTCCGTAGTGATACTGCCTCAGAAACTGTCTCTTGATCATCTTCTATCTCCCCCAGCAATACTTAGCAGATAACGTTGCATATAGCAGGTACCTGGTGAATATGTATTGAAATAAGCATCTGCATGACCACATAGTAAGTGAAAATACTTTCTACATTTCTAAAACCCTAACAGAGGCTGCTGTTGTTGTTGTTATGTGCCGTCAAGTCGGACCCGACTCATAGAGACCCCTCCTTGGGTTTCCAAGGTGGTATCACTATGGAAGTAGATTGCCCCCCAAAAACTTGCCAGTCATAAGTTGGAAAGAAAATGAGGCAATCTACTTCCCTAGTGATACTGCCTCAGAAACCCAAGGAGGGGGTCACTATGAGTCGGGTCCAACTCGACGGCACATAACAACAATAACAACAACAGTCATAAGTTACATATACAATTTGTAGTGTTTAAGAGTACAAATTGCCATCACAGTAAGTTCTAGGTGGATCATTGTTTCACCAGGGAATTGAATATCAGTTTCATAACTGCCTCCCCAATTGTTGGTTTCTTTTCTCCGTGGAACAGTGTGCATCCATTTGATTATGGCAATTTGTTTCTTAATTCCAGCACTATATCAAGAACAGCCTCCAGAGATAAAGGAACGATTCCCTCTTGTAAGCCCCAAGGAAAAAACCAAAATAGAAGAATCTTCTGCAGCTTCTGAAAAGGTAAGTGTTTTCAAGAATATGAATTGTGTATGTACTTTGATTTTTACTCTTTCTCTGAATAAACTATTACTTATTTTTATGGTTTATAGTATTTTTTATTAGATCCTGGCACCAACCTTATGAAGTATGTAAGGCTCATGTTATAGCTGTTTTCCAGAAAAGGAAGAAGCAGGCTCAGAGAGATGAGAGTGCACACCCAAGTCACAGCCTCAGTGATGGGATAAGGACCCAAAGTGTAATTTGTGACCTTATGTGGGATGCTATCTCCTCTTGATGCATTCTACTCTTATTTCTTTAACTGTGTCACTGACAGTGTCATCAACCCACCTGGGGTGTAAATTATGCTCAACGTCACCAGGATCCCCAGAATAAAATGCCCTGTCTTCCTGGAGCATTCCTTTTATTTGCTAGTAACTTTAAATGTTTTAAGTAAAGACATTAAATATGGATGTAATATCAACCAAAGAAGTGTCATGCTTTTCACCTGTGCCTTCAGATCCTTGAGGATCAGTCAATATTCTTCCGATAGTAGCGATACTTTGGTATAAAAATTAATAAGCATTGTAGATTCATATATATTACTTATTAAACTTGTTTTATTGTGTTATATTAGCTCTTACCTAAGATTAAATAACCAAACTGCCTCTTTTCCTCCATGAACTGACATCATTTTTTTTTTTAAACAAATATTATATCATGGTAAAGTTGAGTTGAACCGATTACACATCCTGCAGTCATTCAGCATGTATTTATTGTGCTTACTTCCATGCCAAGCATTCTATTAATCCCCACCAAAATAGGAGTGAGTAAGCAAGGCACTGGCCCTTGAGAAGCTCACAGGCTAGTTAGGCACCTGCAAACAGTCACTCCCAATAGAGTATGGTAGGAACTGTAATAAAAATATGAGCAGGATGCATTGAGAACACACAGGTGGAAACCTAAATCTGCTTGCAGGGGATCCAGGAGGAGTTCCTAGAGGTGGTCATGCTAGGGATGAGACTTATAGGATGAAAAAGTATGGAATAACTTGAGTAGTGAAGTCACTGCAGTGATACACCATGGAGTCTCAGCCAGATTAGAAAAGCAGAGATTCAGGAGAGGATTGGCTGGCTTACAAAGCCAAGTTCTCAGCTGGGTTTCAGTAAACTGCCCAATGGAGGCATGATGTCATACAGTAAAGGAGTGTGTAAGCTGGAGTTAAGGACAACAGAAGTTAAATACAAGCTGGAGTTAAATACAACAGAACAAAACGTTGCCCACTTCTGCCTCATTCACACAGTTTCCAGCAAGGACATCTTATGGTTGAGGAACTAGAACCTATAGTGTTGGACAGGTTGTGCTCTTGGATGTTAAAATTGCAGGTTGATTGCAAGAGTTGGGATGAAGAGGAAACTGAGACAGGAGCTGAAGTTCTTAATTCTTGTGCAGAGGTTCTCAACTTCAGCTTCACACTGAAACACATGCAGAATTAAAAATAAATAAGTACTGATGCCTGCCCCCACCCCTATAAATTTGTTGGAATGGGTCCCGGGCGTGGGTAGATTTCAAACGCTTCCTGGGTCATTTTAACTTGCAACCCATATTGAGAACCATTCTGCCAGAGTGACCACAAGTCCAGAAGTAACAGCTGCAAAGATAAGTGGAGGATGTGATAGCCAGGTGTCAAGACACCCAAGGAGGAGTGCTTGTAGAAGTATAATAGCCTCAAATGAGCAGCAGGGAGCAAAGAGGAGACCAGAGTTGACTCTTGGTCCTGTGGGTCACAGTTGGCCATGTGAAAATGAACAGCCTATGCTAAAAGGGACTGATAGAAAAATGGCATCTCGGTAAAACACCAGGTTTCACATACAGCAAGGATTGTTGTTGTTGTTGTGTACCATAGAGTAAGACCCGACTCATAGTGACCCCTCCTTGGGTTTCCATGGCAGTATCACTATGGAAGTAGGTTGCCCTAACTAAGATAATACGGGGACTACAAGGTATACAGTTGAAAGGATTGGCAAGCAATTTGACTATGGACAGATGTTGTATGTGAAATACTACGCATTGTTTGGAATTCACCAGACTTCAGACGTTAGGAAGGTGCTAATCTAAATTTACAATCTAAAGGTGTTTAATGCAGGGAAAGTATTTATAACATTGACATGGGGAATCATTGGGCAACTAGTAGCATGTTTAGTCAATGTCAAGAACTATGTGAGATACTATGGAAATCTAAGTACAAGATACAGCCTTTACTTGTAGTGACCTGCAGGTATCCCTGACTTTTTACCATGCTAACCTTCAGTATTAAGGTTACCTCTAAAGTGTGTTTAAAGTGTGTTCCTGGCTAAAACCCTTGGGTTAATTCTGCCTCACCCACAGGTGATAAAAGACCTCTGTCTGTATCTTACTGACTCCTTGTAATGTCCTTGCCCCTTCCTCCTAATCTACCTGTGTTCTAGGGGTGGGGACCTCTTTCTTGCTTCTAATACTACCCCTTCTCATGGCCTGTGCCACTTGCATGGAGTCTAGGCACTGCAGCGTAGTGTTAGTCTAGACTGTGGATTGATTTTGTTCCTTTCTTTCTTACATGACTTTTCCCCTCATAGACTAATCTCGTTGCTTCAGACATCTATCCCAACAGACCAATTATTCCGATAGCCCACTCCACCTTGGAAATCTGTTTGGGGTCTGTCCCACTGGTGCCCAAACTCTAGTTCTGGTACATCTCAAGGAACTTATAGACATGTAAAGCAAAATCTTTCAATAAATAAAATAGGTAAAGCCAAGGGAATTGTAAAAGCTCTGATCCATTTGGGCAAGGGGGTAAAAAAGTTCTCACGGAGGAGACAAAACTTGAATTAGACTTTCAGATTTATGGATTTCATTGAAGATCATGATTCGATTTGCTTGATCAGAATCCGTGTGTTAGAATAGAATCCTATAGGAACGTGTCGTATATGGTTAGACAGTGTTTCACTTCCATGTGGGGGGACAAAGTATATGGGAAGATCTATGCTTTTGTGAAAAGAAGCCCCTGAGAAGTGTTAATGTTGTCTCAGGTAATCAGAAGGCCTTGGGTCCCCTCTGAGTCACGAAGCTAAGAGGCAGTACCTTGAGAAGTGTGTAACTGAGCTTCCTTAACACCTGGCAGAGTTGCATTTCTTATGTTTAGTTCCTTTATCAAAATTTATATGGTTTGATTTTTATCAAGATCCTGCCTTATACCACAGATTCTGCCAGATGTTTAATTTCATGTGTAGTTCTATTTTTATTATCATATATAAGATGTTTTGAGGAAAAGACACAAAAACTAGTCTTTGCTAAAGAGAATAGTATAACTGGTGACATGGACAGGACATCCCTGGTGATTCTAGTCAACATATTCATTTTGTAGATGACAAAATCGAGATGCCGAAAGACTGTAAGAGACACATTAAGAATGACACTAAGATAAACATCCAAAAATCAGTTGGATTCCTCTACACCAGCAAAGAGATTGCTGAAAAAGAAATAAGAAAATCAAT